CTGCGGGGCGGTGCAGTGCGCCGGGAGGGGGGCCTGCTGGCCTGCGGCTGGCCCTGGCGTCCTCCACCCCCTCCCCGTCCTTGGAGCCAGCTGCTCCCTCTTCATCCCCGCGCTGCCTTCCCAGCTGGAGGTCGGGGAGGCTGGTCACACCCCTGGGTCTCCGTTTCTGAGAGTGTCCATCTCTCTGGCTGTGGGTGAGCCAGGACGGCTGAGAGGAGTGGGTCCTGGCCAGCCCCAGCACATGAAGGTGATGGTCGCCCCGTGGTTCCCCGGGCAGAGCCGTCTGCATCCCAAGAGCCCACCGTCCCCCCCTCCCCCAGCAAGAGGCCCAGAGGTGGAGCCCGGCTGCCTCTCAGAGGGCACTGTCCGCCGATCACGAGGCAGGCTGGTGAGCCCTGGGAGCTGCCCCAGAGAGACATTTCTTGGTGACACCCCAAAACCATCATGACTCACCCCCTACAGAGTGCAGCCTCCTGCCAGCTCACACCCCTGACCCCAGGCCGGCTATGGGACAGCAGGGCTGCAGGCAGCCACTTGCCCGCTGCCTGCAGAGCTTGGCCACGCCCCAGCTCTGTGGGCCCAGGGGCAGGACAGTCCTGCTGGAGCACAGAGGTGGGAGCACCTCCCAGAAGCAGGCGCTAGACCAGGAGTGCCGTTTGCCATCCCTTCCTGCACACCTGGCTGTCACAATCACTGAAGCAAACGTTTGGCGCCCTGGGGGGAGGGGACGAGAGTTGGAAGGTGGGAGCAGAGCGTGTAACCCCTGCTGGCCCTCGCCCATCTAATCTCGAAGCCCATTAGGAGGCAGGGAGAGGGACCTATGCTACCAGGGAGCAGGGCAGACATGGAGCGCACCGGAACTGATGTCAGCGCTCTGCTCTGAGCTCTGGGCTGGATGCCTTGCACCCAGCATCGGGGTCCCTAGGGCTCTGTGGGCACATCGAGGTAACAAGGGGCCTCTGCTCAACTCTGAGGTCAAGGCAGCTGGGAGTGTCTGTCCCCTACCTGGCCTCATGTGCCTTTTTACCCCACAGGAGGATTTGCAGAACCCTGCCTCCCCTCAGGAGGACGGGGCGGCCAAGGAGGACGAGGACATGGCTGAGGAGGTAGGCGCTCCCAGGGCAACCACCCCCCCACGACTCATTGTCCCCTCCAGGGACCCAGAGCCCATAGAAGCCTCTGGGCCTTCTGTAGCTCCACAGGGACTGTGGGCATGGCCAGCCAGAGTCTGAGTATGTGGTGCCCCTGGTAGGAGACACAGGTGATGACCTCCTCAGCCCCTTGGAAGCAGCACTGAGGCCGGGAGGCCAGAGCTGTGTGACAGCTGTGCTCTCTCTCAGGCCACGAGCGGAGGCGACTAACGGGCTGCCGGTCAGCCGCGGAGGTGCCGGGGAGCGCCCCTCTGCCTTGGGTCCTGCCCCACTGGACCAGGAGAGCCAGCCCTGGAGTGTCCTGTGGTCACCCCTGCCCCTGGCCACCCAGGTCTGCCCCCTTGCTGCTGCCACCCGTCACTGCCTGCCTGGCGCCGTCCTCTGGCCCTCCAGACCCCACGGATGCTGCTGTGAAATCTTTTCTTTTCTTTTCTTTTTTTTTTTTACTATTTCAAATAAACACTTGAGCCCCACCCCAGCTGCTCTGTGCTGCGTGGTTTGTTCATAAGGAAGCCCCCAGGTCCCTCTCAGGTACAGGGGCTGGTCTGGCTTGTTGGTGGCCGGGAACCCAAGGGACACCCAGGGCTTCCTGGAAGCTGCGAGAGCTCACTGCCTTGGAGCATCCCCAGCGCACCCGCCGGCACTGCTAACATGGAGGCTGCAGCCCTGCCAGGGCCCAGGTTGCGGGACAGGTGGCTCCAGGTTTCGAACTGGAGCTCCACTTCCAGGTGGACCCTGCTTAGCGGCTCTGGCTCCGAGGACCCTGCTAACAGCAGGAGGGAAGGGTGGGCTCTGGGGCTTTCCCACCGTGCGTCCTCAGCACCAGCGTCCTCAGCACCAGCGTAGTAAAGGCAGCAGGAACACCCAGCACTCTGGCTGGCACAGACGGGAACTTTCCACAAGAAGGATGAGCATGGCCTCCCAGCAGGGACAGGGGCGCCCTGACCCCAGGTGCCGCCCGGCCCCACCCCGCCTCCAGCTCCCCACCCAAATGATGGAGTGAGGCGTTCCCTCCCACACCCAGAAGCCTGCCAGCCATCATTAGGGACACGAGACTGGGCTGCCGAGGGCCGTGCCTTGGCGGGGACAGTCCCCGCTCCCAGCCACCAAGGGCCACCCAGCACCCCCTCATCTAACCCTCACCACGATCCTCTGCGAGGCTATTGGGCACAACCCAGTCCCCAAGGGAACCGAGCAGCAGAGAGGCATGGTCACTCGAGGCACGGCACTCAGACGCACGGCGGCACAGGCCCGGATGGCCTTACTCAGAGCCAGCCGGCTGGTGCCAAGCTCTCCTGCAACCACCAAGACTGCAGGCCCCAGCCCCCCGTGCCCACCCGAGCTTTCAGAACCTCCCTGGAGGGCTGTGAACATCAGGCCTGTGACTGGCGTTCAGTCTGGGGGACAGACCAGGGGCCCTGGACCCTCCCCTCCCCGTTTGGTACCCAGACAGTTTGGACTCAGAGCATTTAAGTGACTTGTCCCAGGCCTCAGTCCTGGGTGTCAGTGTTGAACCTGAGTCTACATGTGACTTCACACCACCCCATCCACACCGCCTCCCCACCCAGCCCCTGCAGCAGGTCAAGGGCAGCCCAGGGGGCAGGGGTCCAGTGACGTGCAGCTGTGCTGGGTCATATCTGAGGCCTGGCCAAGGGGTAGGGGTGGAGGGCCTGAGGGAGGCTCAGGTCAGCCGGGAAGCTGCTCCCAGCCCAGTCGGGCGCAGCAGGCCCAGGCGTGCCCCAGAGCGCTCGGCTGTGAGAAGCAGGGAGGAGCTCGGGCTCCATGACCGGGTGGCGTGGGCACAGACCTGGCCGGGCCAGGCTTCAGGCTCGGTGCCCTCTGCTGCTGAAGGAGCCCACACAGCACTTGCCGCCCTGCAGGTCCACTCTGGGGCTCCGGTGCCAGACAGCAAGGTCTGCCCATTTCAGGAGGCCCCTCTGCGGCCGGGCACCGCGGGGCTCTGCCTCCAACCGACCCTGTGCTCTGGCCCCACCGGAGCCCCTGACCCACCCAGGGAGGCACTGGTCTCTTCCTAAGCACTCCCTGCCTGGGAAGCCCCCAGCGCTGCTCTCCCCCCCCCCTCCATAGAGCCCTCAGTGAGGGCTGGGCACCCTTTGGCCTCGAGTCCCCACAAAACATTTTGGGGAAGTTGGGGCAGAGGCTCAGAGAGCTGAGGGACCTCCCTAGGGATACATGAGACTGAGCGCAGAGCCTGCTGGGCCAGGGCCCTGAGCTGTCTCTGCCATCACGCGCTCGGGGCTGGCCAGCCCTCCTCACGGCAGCCGCGGCCGGCTTCCTGGCGTGCATGCTGCCCTCTGGACCTGGTGTGAAGCAGCCTCAGCCTGCTGCTAACCGGAGCACCCAGAGGTGGCCTGGCGGGAGGAATGGGTTCCTAGGGGCATCTTGGAGGGTTGGGCTGTGCCGGGCTGCCTGGACTCGCAGGGGAGCAGCCAGCCACTCCCCGACTTCATGCCCAGCCCAGTGCCAGGCCCTGGACCTGGGGGTGGGGCCAGAGCGGGCCCTGGTGGCTGCTTTGCACCTGCGCTCCCTCCTGCCCCCACCCCCCCTTGACTTGGCTGCACTGACGTATACTGTGTGTGTGCACGCGTGCACTGTGCTCCCTGCCCCGGGTTAAAGGCTGACCCTTCACTGCCAGAAGCAGAGACTGGGCCAGAACACCGGCCTGAGTGGGAGGGTGCACCAGAGCTCCAGAGCACAGAGACTCCACCACGAGGCGAGAGGCAGCCCTGAGAGGAGCTGGACTGCTCAGGGCCATGGCAGTTTCCAGGCCCTGAAGTGGGAGTGTGCGGGCAGGGAGGGGTCAAGGCATCGTGCCAGCATGTCACTGTCCCTGGAGTCCTTGCACCTCCATTGAAGCACAGGGCACCCCCTGATTGTCCCCAAATTCTGTGCACCCCACCCTGGGAAAGTGGCCCATGGCCCACCAGGGTGTATTCCTGGCCTCTCTGCGCCATGCTGCCTGCTCAGCCTCAGCTCTGTGACCCAATGTGAAGTTTCTGCCCAGGCCGGCTGCGCTGACCCCTGTTCCCCTTCTACCTGGGGGTCCATGGTGGGCAGGTGTGCATGCAGGCCTGGCCCTCCCTGACCCCAGCTGGTCTGTGCCTGCCGTCCCCAAGGTGCTGGGCAGATGGTGGGTCTGCAGGGTGTGTGGGCTGCAGCTCCGCCTCAGTTTCCACCTACAATCTGATTAAGGACACCCACTTATCTCTCAAGGCTGCGTAGGGATCATCCCGGCCGGCCGGCTGTAAAGCAGCGTCTGCCCAAGATAAAGGCCAGTAAAGGCAGCTGCTGTTATTAACTCCGAGGCTGCCTTGAGCTCTCCACCTGCCGCTGGGGGATGAGGGATCCCCCCCGGGTCAGGCTGACCAGGTGGGGGCGGCGTGCGCATCCTCCTCCTGCCCTCGGCTCCTTTCTGAACCCCTGACCCAGCCCCAAGCCCTGCCGCAGTCCCTAACCCTCTTCCCACCCTGGTTTGGGCTGCTCCTGCCCACTGAGCCGGGTCCAGGATGTGCTCCCAGGCCCGGGAACCTGGAACCCAGCCCGGTCACTCCCCCAGCCCGCCCACCGGAACCACCCCGTGCCCCCCTCCTCTGCGCGGGGCGGGCCAGCCCTGGGGCGCCTTAAAAACTCCCACGGCCCTGGCCCCGCAGGACTCAGCGACTACCACTGCCCTAGCCTTGACGATTGTGCAGGCCCCCACAGCCATGGCAAGCAAGGGCTTGCAGGATCTGAAGCAGCAGGTGGAGGCGACTGCTCAGGAAGCGGGTGAGGAGCGGGGAGCACCCGCAGGGGGACCCCAGGTTGGAGGACAGGAGGGGTGGCTGTGCAGTTCACTAGGTCTGAGTCAGTGAGCTGGCAGACTGGTTCAGGCTTGGGGAGGCCCTCCCTGGGGTGGAGAGGCGGGCAGGACAATCACACGGCTAGCAAGGGGTGCCGGGACCCTTGGTCCCCAAGGAGCCTCGGCCACGCTTGCAGCACTGCCGGTGCCCATCCCAGAAGGTGGGGGTGGGCCCTTAGCGGAGGGCAAGGACCCACCAAGAGAGCTCTCCCGCTGGGAATGGAGCTGAGGAGGCAGCTCCAGACCCCACTGGGTTTTCTTTGGAAGCCAGCCGCCCCCTACGGGGAAAAACAGTCTTTTTCTTACTTTTAATTCCTGACTGAACCAGGGCAGGTCCCGGCCTGGGCTTCTCCACCCCTGGCTCCTCGTCCTTATTCCAGAGGCTGGCTATACAACTGGGGCGGGGGAGGCGTGCTGCCCCCTGGGTCCTGCTGCACTCAGCCCTAGCCCAAGCCTCCTTAAGTCTCCCACTCCCAACGGAGAGACTGCGTCCAGACCCCCCCACCCCCAGCGCCCTGAGAGCCACAGTCCTGCCCTTGAGGTGAAAGGCTACCAAGGAAGCCCCCCTTCTTCGTGCCCTCTCCAGGCTGGGTGGCTTTCTCACAGGGATGTCACACGAAGCCCCAGGGCTCTGTGAGCACCTGCACCTGTCCACCTGCACCACCCCTTGTTGGTTTGAGGATGGGGTCTGTGCAAGGCAGACCTTTGCTGTTCAAGGAGGGCTAGCTCTCTGCAGCCCAGAGGCCCTGCCAGCCCACCCAGCAGGCTGGCACCCCATGCCCCCCACATCCCACCTACTGCAGGCAGACAGGTGCAGAGGAGACGGCCTGGCCCGGGAGTGTCGGGAGTGTCACATCTCCGCACTTCTCCTGTGCCTTAAGCACCAGCTCACAGCACTTGCTGGCATGCCCTGGGGGTGGGCACAGAGGCGCCAGGGCCAAGCCCAGTTAAGGTGGATTCAGGCATCTGGACCAGGCTTTCAGAGAAGTTGTTAAGCGGGCAGGGGTCTTACTGGTGTGCCCAGTAGCCCACAGCCCAGATACCAGCTCCAGCCTGGCCCTGCCCCTGTCCTCCACCCACTGGGTCTGCATTTTCTCAGCGACCCTGATGAGAGAAGGGAAGCCAGCCGGCCAGAGGGGGCAGGGCTCAGAGTTACAAATAAACACCAGCACGCCGCAGGGCGGGGCTGGCCGAGGGGCTCGCTCCACGCAGGCTGGATGGCCTTGGCGGGAGACTTCCCCTGATGGCTGTCCCTTGGGCCAGTAGGGCAGGCCACTCTAATAACAGATGGGGTGAGGCAATGGGGAGTAGGACCACGGGGCCTCAACAGGGCTAAAGGCCACATCTCTCTGTTCCAGCGACAGCAGCAGGAGCTGCAGCCCAGCAAGTGGTGGACCAGGCCGCAGCCGCGGGACAGAAAGGTCTGGTGGGGCTGGGAGGGGCTGCTGGAAGGGCGGTTGGTGGGAGGGAGATTTGAAAGGAGCTGGAAGGGCGGGGGAGGGGCTGGGAGGAGCTGCTGGGAGGGGGGGTGGAGGGTGGAGGGGGACGGGACAGGAGGGCGGTGTCCCACCGGCCCCTCTGCCACAGTCTCCTGCGACACTGCCCAGTGCTGGTTCCCCGAGGGCCTGCGGTCACCTGCCCTCTCTTTTCCTTCCCCAGCCATGGACCAGGTGGCCAAGTCCACCCAGGAAACCATCGACAAGACTGCTAACCAGGCTTCGGAGTCCTTCTCAGGTTTTGGGAAAAAACTCGGCCTCCTGAAATGACAAAGGGAGACACGAGTGACTGCCCCCCAGGTCCTGTCTAGCAAGACCTGACCCTGAGCTCTCCTCGGTGGCCCCTGCATTAAAGCTGGTGTTTCCAAGCAGTGTCCTCTCTCGTCTCCCCCCACTCTGGTTCCAGCTGGCCCCAGCCAAGAGCTGAGCCCCCACACTCGGGAACCCAGCCCGATTCAGAGTCCTGGCCTCTATCCGAATCCCAGGATTAGGAGAGATACCGCATTCCATTTCTATCCTCTCAGCCGTGCTTATCCGGACACTCCCTTATCCGAAGCCCAATTCCCATCTAGATACGTGCTCCGCGTCTGCCCTACTCGGCGCCAGCCTGGGCCCCACTCCCTCTGCTCCGGAACCTGTTCCCTCCTTAGGACGGGGTTTTTCGGTCCCCAGACCCTCGAGGGGCTGAGCGCTGGGCCGGGGCCCTGGGAACTCCTCCCCGAGGGGCGTGCCAGGGGGGATGAGAACAGGGACACCCCCACCCCCACACACTCAGAGCCAGCGCCTCTAGAACTTCTGGCAGCGGGGGACTGGGGGGTGACGCAGAATCAAGGGGGCCGAGCTTCCCGCTCGCGGGGCGTCGGTCCTCGCCCCACCCGGCGGTGAGTCAGCAGGCTGTGCCCAGGCTCCGGCCCCGCCCGGGAAAGGCCTGCGCTCACGGGGCGGTGCACGTGGGTGCGGGTGCAGGGGACCGCGCCCTTAGGCCCGGGCTCTCTCCCGGCTTGAACTGAGCCCAGCCTTCTGGGCGGGCGAGAGCCGATGGACGCGGGTGCCCGCCAGCCAAACCCCTCACCCCGCACGTGTCCGTGCACGCGACCCCAACCCTGGGCAAGCCCTGCCACCGCCACCAGAAGAGCCCAGCCCTGGCGCCAGGCGCCGACCGGGCGGCTCCGCACCCACCCCGCAGGGCTTGGCCCCGCACCCGCTTCCTCCGTAACCAGCGCACGCCAGGCCTCCCTGGAACCGGGACCGCCGAGCCGCACCTCCCGGCTCCGGGGCGCTGGAGACCGCCGGGGCGCTGGGAAGGGCGGCGTCCTTCGCGCGTGGCCAGCAGGGGGCAGTGGCCTGCCCGGCCTAGTGCGGTGACCCGCGGCACGTAAAGCCGGAATCGCCCTGTCCGTTCCCCACCGGGAGAGCCCGCCCACCCTCGCCCCGGGGCCGCGCCCTACTCCACGCTCCGTCCTTGCTGCGGACTCCTTAAAAGAAGGCCTCCCTAGGTCTGCAGAGCTGCCCTGGCTGCGCCCTCGGTCCGAGTGTGTGTGTGTGTGTGTGTGTGTGTGTGTGTGTATGCGCGCGTGTGCGCTGGGGCTGTGGTCCTTGGAGAGCTACCTGGAGCGGTTTGGGGATGCGGCGGGAGGGGCGGGACTGGAGCCCCGACGGCCCTGACATCCTCCTCTGAGTGACTCGGCCAGGACAGGTCCTGCAGGCCTCGTGGTGTTCCCCTCGTGCGTGCCTGGCTCTGATGTGTGCACAAGAGCCATTAGGTACGAGGCCACGGGCCTTCTGGGAGTCGGGGGACAGCCCTCGCCTCCTGCTGGGCAGTTTTGTGGCTGGAAACGACACCTGGGAATGCCGCTGCCCAGCGAGGACGATCGAGGAGCAAGCTGGCGCGCCACCTGCGGAGCAAAGATGCACAGAGCCACAGAGTGCCGTACCTGGCGTCCGCGTGGCGTCCCGGAGAGCCCAGTCCTGGGTCCGGCCACTGCCGGCTACCGAGGGCGGGGCTGCTAACTCTCCGCGCTGCTGCGCTTTCGGTTTTCTGTTGCAAGTAGAGTGCAAGCCCTCCGCGTTGCCTGGACTCTGGGCTGGGCCTACCGGCCCCTCTCCTTTCCTGCCGCCTCCGGAAACTGCGATTGGCTGGTCCTGTAGGGCTCAGCGTCCTGGCGGGCACACACACTCACACTCACACTTAGAATGGGCCAGGCCACAGTGACACAGTCACCGGTCCCTCCTTTTTCAGTTACAACGAATTAGCCCATTGCTTTCCTGTGTGCTCCTCTGCCCTGGTGCTTCTGGGTGGCACCCAAAGCCCTCTGCATTCCTG